TGCCTTATCACACTATGTATGCCACTACGCTTCTTAAATCTCTCAAACCAACCTTTGCTGGCCTTAAATTCACTCACATCATCACTAGTTGCAGGCATTTTTTTAATTAAATCCTCATGCAACTTCCTAGCCTTTTCGCTTATGATCGCTTGAGAGACGCTATCTCCTGCTACCTGTTTTTCATTTATCCACACAAATAAGAGTCTCTCAACATCTTCCATCACTTGCGATCTTCAGTGTTTGAAAACACAGTTGAACCTTTGCCCAAATAGTTCGATTTGATTGCGGTTTTTTGTCCGGGCCCCCCACTACTTAACTATCATGATTCTTTTTCTTCTATACAACCTAGGGCCAGGCTCGGGCCCAGCACTTCATTTTCCAGATAATACAAAAACATGAATATCTTTCTTTATCTTACATTAGTAAACATCACGCCACTGTGAGGTGTTGGCACTAGAGCTTCTTGGCGAAGACCATGGCATTATTTTGGCAGATATCCCCAGAGTGCAAAATTTCGAAAATGGTTGCGGATTGAATGCTTGGATGTTACGACGGGGACTGATTTAAAAATGCCCAAACCCGCGGCACATTGAGCGGCTAAGAGTCCAACCAGCCCGTCGCTAGCCAACTGAAGGTTATTGGGCGTACGCGAGGGCTGAGTTTTTGTGACTCAAGTGAGCGGTAATGGCGGGGGTATGGATTGCATCGTGTCATTACGATTTCTTAAGTCAGTTACAGTACGCTATTGTATAAACATTTAAAAATATACCAGAAATGTTATAAATGATGCAAAGGTGACATTAAAACAATATCAAAGATGGTTTACACAAACTCACTACCATTATAGTATGCTCCTCACTTAGTGATGAATTCATTTAACGAAGTGGTCTCAGGAATGGAATTCCGTTGTTAAGTGAGGAGAGGCTGTACTCGCTTGGGTATTGGGGCTTGGAATTTTGCTAGTGAGACTTGATCCTATTGTTGAGAAGAAATCATTCATCATACTGGCTGTTTCAATAGAGTTATGGTTTGCTGGGTTCAGCTTTTGGGTGCCCAGAATTTGAGTGTGTCTTCCAGGTCTTTTTTATATCACCTCTCATTTCAGTGAATCTACAGTGGTACCTTGATTTATGAGTTTAATTCGTTCTGTGACTGAGCTCATAACCGAATTTGCTCCTATATCAAATCAATTTTCCTCATTGAAATTAACTGAAATGACATTAATCCGTTCCAGCTCCTGAAAAACCACCCCAGGGGCAGGAGAAAATACTTCAATATAATGCTAATATCAACTCTATGGCTTATTTATGTATCAGAATTGATCTAATATGACATAATAAACACTATAAGTAGCATAGAAACATGATATATACTCTAGAATTAATAAAATAGGCCATAATATGGCGAGTGTCCAGGACCAATCCGAGCATATAAAATTATTACTGCTCCTTCCTATAGCATGTTCTTTTTTATTTATTTATTTATTTATTTAGTAATTTGAGCATACAAACAGAGGTACAAAAAAATACAGGTAAGAGCAGCATGCCAAAGCCACTTATATGCATAGCATTACGGGCTGGCTTAAAATTAACTTAAGATTAACTAAGCAATGATGAAATCAGTGATAAGACATTATTGTAAACAGATAACTATAAAGCACAAATGAGTATTACAAAGACAGGTCATATGGTTGCATGCATTGCTGTACATTCAGTCGAATGGAGTATTCTGTTAGATTGGGTTTTAGGTTTAACATTTATGTGATATAATTGTGAGAAACATTTAAGATATACAATTTATAAGGTTCAGTTATTCAGTATTTATTTGGTTTTGGGTGAGTAAGTGATCTTTGAGAAGAGACTTGAATTTATAAGCAGGTAGTGTTTCTTTTATATTTACAGGTAATGAATTCCAGATTTTAGGGCCTTTTATGTGCATTGAGTTTTTGTATAGCGTGAGATGGACACGAGGAACATCAAAGAGTGATCTGTGCCTTGTGTTATGGTCATGTGTTCTGTTGAGGTTGGCAAGGAGATGTTTGAGGGGAGGGTTAATATCAGAGTTAAGTGTTCTATGTATGTAATAGGTGCAATAATAAGTATGGATGTTTTGTATGGTGAGTAGGTTGAGTGTTTCGAATATTGGTGGAGTGTGCTGCCTGTAGTGAGAATTTGTTATCATTCTAACTGCAGCCTTTTGTTGGGTAATTAGTGGTCTGAGATGGTTAATTGTTGTTGAGCCCCATGCACAAATTCCATAGGTGAGATAGGGGTAAATAAGAGAGTGAAATAGGGCCAGGAGGGCTGACTGTGGAGCATAGTACCATATCTTCGATAGTATGCCTACAGTCTTGGAAATTTTCTTAGAAATTTGTTGTATATGTGTATGAAATTTGAGTCTATTATCAAGGTGGATTCCTAAGAATTTTCCCTCTGTTAGCTTTGTGATAGGTGATCCGTTTATCATTATGTTAAGAGGGACATCTGTAGCTCTGTTACCAAACTGAATGAAGTAGGTTTTGTCAATGTTTAGTGTAAGTTTGTTAGTCCTCATCCAGGTAGATATTTTCTGTAATTCGGTATTTACAGTATTGGCTAGCGTGACTGGGCTCAGGTGAGAGAAGACGTATGTAGTGTCATCTGCAAATAGTGTGTGTTTGAGTACTTGCGAAGCATTTGGTAGATCATTTATGTATAGGAGAAAGAGAAGAGGGTCAAGGACACTTCCCTGTGGGACACCAACTGTAATTGGTTGTGCGGAAGAGCTTGCCCCATTTGCGTACACATATTGGCTTCTGTTGCTGAGGTATGACTTGATGTAGTTGAGGGAGTGCCCTCTTATACCATAGTGTGACAATTTTACGTGGAGCAAGTCATGGTCAACTGTATCAAAAGCTTTATGTAAGTCAATGAAGATCCCCAGTGGGACTTCTTTTTTCTCTACTGCAGTGTATATATGTTCTAGCATGTGTATAATAGCATCATTAGTATTTTTATTAGGCCTGAATCCAAATTGGCAGGGGTTGAGTATGTTTTGGGAGATGAGGTAGGAGTAGATTCGTTTATGAATTAATTTTTCGAAGATTTTTGAGAGAGGGTGTAAATTGCATATTGGCCTATAGTTATTCAACTCTGTTTGGTCTCCTCCTTTATGGATCGGGGTGACCCTTGCTATTTTGAGAACTGTAGGGAAGGTGGAGGATTCAATGGATTTGTTAAAGAGTGTTGCAATGATTGGTGATAGCACTTGTGACACTTTTTTGTATATAAAGGGTGGTAAGGTATTTAAATCTCCTGCCTTGTTTTTTAGTGCGTTGATAATAAAGGAGACTTCGTATGGGATTGTCGGAGCTAGGAACAGTGTGTTCGGGTAGTTGCCAGTGAGGTAGTCATTTGGTGGGGTATCTTAGCTTGGGATTTTATTGGCAAGGTTTTGTCCTATAGATGGTCCTGGGTAAGAGAAAATGGAATTTTTGAGAGGCTAACTGCACTAGATGAGCACTAGATCACTAGTGCAGTGATATATATGAATATCTTGGAAGTAAGTTATTGACTTATTTCATGAAGCCCACCATTTATTATTGAAGTAAATGCAATAATATTGACAGGAATCATAAAAAAAAAATGAATGCTCTACAATTGGCTTGTGGAATATTGGAAATATCCAAAATATTTTGGGATTTGTGTGGGAGTAAAGGGCAAGATGTTTTGCAAATGTCAAAAACTTACCAACTTTATTTTTTTGTAGAATAACTAAAGATAATTACACGATTACCTCCAGTGAGAACATCACACTAGTGTTGTTTTACAAGTACCAAGTCTGAAAATCATCTTTTGTTGTGCCATTTAGGCCGAGATTCTTGCCAAATGTCATTTTCAGTAAATATTTTTTTATCCAGTAAATTTTTTTTCGCTCGTAACTCGGATTTCAACTCACAACTCAAAGCAAAAAATCGACTGAGCGACGGCTCATAACTCAGAAAACTCATAATTTGGGGCACTCATAAGTCAAAGTGCCACTGTATTAGAATAATACAGTTGCTTGAACTTTCTTATTAGTTTGGTGAGGACTGATGTTTAGTTATTACTAAGTTCTTTAGTTATTAAGCCCAGTCTGTACTGTTTTTCATAGTAATGTTTCTTATCTAAGGATGCTATTTGTAAGCCACTGGCAACCTAGGCATTTAGTAGTGATCTGTTTAGTTTTTATGGGACAGTGTTTGTTGTACAGTCTATGCATTTTTTTGTAGAAAAATTTCTATCCGTTTGTCAACACCTCTAGCATTGGTAAATTCTGCAGGCCAGTCAGCTGAACTTAATGCTATGGTGAAGTTACTCATTGATACCTTGTCATGGAGTTGCTTAGAAATGTTTGTAAGGAGGAAGTGGGGTAATTGTCAGTAGTGTTGTCAGTGATTATCCTTGAATTGAGGGAAGCTAATATATTTATCCATATATGATCAATTATGGTTGCACCTGCCTTGGTTAACCTTATAGGTTTAGTTACAGCTGGTATGAGTAAGGAATTGTTCATGCTGTTAATGAAATCAGTTACTGGTTCGTCATCTGCTAGGCCAAGGTTCATGTTGAAGTCTCCACAACCACTGAAGTGAAATTGAGCTAAAATTCATGTCGAAATATCAGATAAATATTTAAATGATATTGAAGTTCCAGCTACAGTGCGATACAAATATAAAATACAAACAATTTATGCAGTTTCTAATTACGTATAACACTATGTGAAAGTTTACCATAACACCGAATTTGGCCAAAAACTGGAACAATAAATTTTTATTTTAAAATATGCATATCCTGAAGACTGTGCACTCTGTTGTTGAAATAAAAAAAAGCTATACAGAGGTATAATTGTGGGTTTTAGCTTACTAAATATCAAGTATTTTTCATGATAAATTAAGATATGGCATTGTTTTTAAATAGATATTGTACTTCAAATTTTACTAGATACAGTTACTTATGAACCTTTTATCCTTTTTGTTTCAGGTAGCAGATGGTACATGCTCTGAAAAAGTATGTTCAGTGACACTGGCTGTAAATGATGGCATTCAATATGAGTCAAATGCTTTTATTGAAGTTCTTTATAGCATGGTTGAAGTCATGCTTGTACCTTCACCAAGCATTAATATCAGTGCTTCTAGTTACAGTGAAAATTTAATAAAATTTGAGCTACCGATACTGACAAGTAAAATGTTTGCAGTCGAGCACCCTCAGGTACGTATACATATAGTGTAGTACAGTATACATATAGTTCTTCTTCTTTCAACAAACCAGCCATATCCTACCAAGGTAGGGTGGCCCATAAAGAAAAACGAAAGTCTCTCTTTAACTTTATAATGTACACAGGAGATGGGGTTACTAGCCCCTCACTCCCAGCATTTTAGTTGTCACCTACGACACACATGAGCCTATATAGTTTACTAAATTTAACCCTTTCAGGGTTTCTGACGTACTAGTATGTCTTACGCACCAGGGTTATTGACGCACTAGTACGCATAAATTCTAGTGCCTTCATATCTAGTGAGAGAAAGCTGGTAGGCCTACATATGAAAGAATGGGTCTGTGTGGTCAGTGTGCACAGTATAAAAAAAATCCTGCAGTACACAGTGCATCATGAGAAAAAAAAAATTCCAACCGTGTTTTTGGTTTAAAACAGCGACTTTTCAGTGTATTTTCGTGTAGTATTTATGGTTGTATTCTAGTTTTTCTGGTCTCATTTTATAGAATGGAAGACATATTATGGAAATTGAGATGATATTGATTGGTTTCAAAATGAAAAGTACCTTGAAATTGAGCTCAAAATAGCAGAAATGTTCGATTTTTGCCAAAGTTCAAAGGTAAACAAATCATGCTATGCGTCCAATACACGTCAACTGGTGAGTCTAATATTCTTTCACAAGTGCACTGATATTATTTATACCATTTCTACACTAATGCAGTAGTCTGCATAACATAAATCTTCTATTTTTTGTGAGAATATAAATTCAAAGTGGAAAGCAAAAGAAATGTAACAGAGGCCTGGGGACATGAGTAATAAGCAGAGGAAATGTTATTTTAGTGCCAGGAATGTCTTTCTTGTTTATTCTGGACCCTATTTGGAAACTGGCATCTTTTGAAATTTGTGTGAAATTGGCAAAATTGCCAAATTCTAACCACTTTATTGGATACTTGAAATCGGTAAATGGGTGGTTTCTTGTACTCATTTGATAGAAAAAATGGAGTTCTAGCGAAATAGTTATGATTTTTGTCTACTGTTACATAGGAATTGGCTGAAAATAGGGCTCAAAGTGGGCGAAATCGCCGATGCATAAACATTGTCGAGACTGCTAACTTTGCGAGAGCATAATTCCGTAAGTTTTCCATCATATTTCATACTTTTGGTGTCATTATGATCGGGAAAAGATTCTCTATCATTTCTTAAGAAAATATAGTGGACCCCCGGTATTCGATGGCATCGGTATTCGATAAATCCGGCATTCGATGCATTATATCGTAAAAAAATTTCCTCGGTATTTGATTAAAAACGCAGTATTCGATATGATTCGTACGAGACCTGTCCACGTGTGGCCTGAACTGCCCCGTGTGTGCCAGTGTTTACAAGCCAGCCAGTGTGCGCGCATCTAAGGATACATTTGGCACATTCCATATTATTCACATTATCACTGTGTTTGGTGCTTGTTTCTGCAAAATAAGTCACCATGGGCCCCAAGAAAGCTTCTAGTGCCAACCCTTCGAGAAAAAAGTCGCTAATGACTTATGAAATGAAGAAAGAGATAATTGCAAAGTACGAAAGTGGAGTGCGTGTGTCGGAGCTAGTTAGGTTGTATAATAAACCCCAATCAACCATCTCTACTATAGTGACCAGGAAAACGGCAATCAAGGAAGCTGTTCTTGCAAAAGGTGCAACTGTGATTACGAAACAGCGACCGCAAGTGTTAGAAAATGTTGAGAGATTGTTATTGGTGTGGATAAATGAAAAACAGATAGCAGGAGATAGCATCTCTCAAGCGATCATTTGTGAAAAGGCTAGGCAGTTGCATGACAATTTGGTAAAGAAATTGCCTGCAACTAGTGGTGATGTGAGTGAATTTAAGGCCAGCAAAGGTTGGTTTGAAAGATTTAAGAATCGTAGTGGCATACTTAGTGTGATTAGGCGTGGTGAGGCTGCCAGTTATGTTGTGCGACAGAAGTCCAGTGACTCTCAAGCTGGTCCTAGTGGCATTAAAAGAAGAAGGGAAGTAACCCCGGAAAAGGACTTGCTACCTCAAGTCCTAATGGAAGGGGATTACCCTTCTAAACACTAACATCTCTCCCCCTCCTCCCATCCCATCAATCATCACCAGATCTTCATTAAAGGTAAGTGTCAATTATTTTATTGTTATTGTAATTATTCTTTTGCATTAAACTTAATATTTCATGTAGTAAAATTTTTTTTTCATACTTTTGGGTGTCTTGCACGGATTAATTTGATTTCCATTATTTCTTATGAGGAAAATTGATTCGGTTTTCGATATTTTCGGTATTCGATGAGTTTTCAGGAATGAATTAATATCATTTACACTCACTCACCCATTTGACCATAAACAGAAATATCAATCCCAATCTCAAAATAATGAATCTTAACTAGTCATAAGTTGGCCTGTGATACTCCAATACTGAAACTATGTATAGTGCCAAAACAAAAGCATTCACATTGCTAAACTCACAAACCAGTATTTAGTCACATAGCCATAATACCAACTTACCTCATAATTTTGTAATATTTTAAACTTAAGATTTAATCTAAGTCTGCCCGAAATGCCTAGCCATGCTAGGTGTTCTAGTGGTACACTCTGTAATTATTATTTTACTACATGTAAACCACACAATAACCAAATTCTGTAAACTCAGCATTGTAATCCTTATAGAGAATAAACTTTGAATTGAATTGAATTGAATTGAAATACCGGGGGTCCACTGTATAATTATTTTTTTTTTTCGAAAAATATCCGACCCTGAGAACAAGTTTAGGAGAGGGCCTGCCGACCCTTTTGAAAGGGTTAATGACCCTGCTTCTGAGCTGCCAGATCCCAAACATATGGGCACGTGGCTGAGAGAGAGCACAGCGCAAATCTCCATCAACATTCAGCTTGTTTCTGTATTTGGTCTTGACAGCAACTGGTGCAGAAAATGCAGCCTCACATAAATACTTAGAGACAAACATTATTTTGGCCTTTGATGTTCCCCCCATCCCCTGAGGAAATCACTCACAATCCTGGGGCTCACTGCTGGTTCTTAACCTGGTTAAGAAAACCACTGGTTAAGAATACAGCTGGTTCTTAACCAGGGGTGAGCCCCCTGGTTAAGAACCACTGCGCTACACCAACTGGAGTTCTGCACTTTTTTTTTTTTTTTTTTTCAACAAGTCGGCCATCTCCCACTGAGGCAGGGTGACCCAAAAAAGAAAGAAAATCCCCAAAAAGAAAATACTTTCATCATCATTCAACACTTTCACCACACTCACACATTATCACTGCTTTTGCAGAGGTGCTCAGAATACAACAGTTTAGAAGCATATACTGTACGTATAAAGATACACAACATATCCCTCCAAACTGCCAATATCCCAAACCCCTCCTTTAAAGTGCAGGCATTGTACTTCCCATTTCCAGGACTCAAGTCCGACTATATGAAAATAACCGGTTTCCCTGAATCCCTTCACTAAATATTACCCTGCTCACACTCCAACAGATCGTCAGGTCCCAAGTATCATTCGTCTCCATTCACTCCTATCTAACACGCTCATGCACGCTTGCTGGAAGTCCAAGCCCCTTGCCCACAAAACCTCCTTTACCCCCTCTTTCCAACCCTTTCGAGGACGACCCCTACCCCTCCTTCCTTCCCCTATAGATTTCTGCACTTATGTACAGTTATTGTTGTTGGGGTTTATAAGGCCACTAACAGATTCTGTACAGTTGTATGTGCTCATAAGGAATGTAAATACACAGAAGGTAAACATAAGGCTAACAGTGTGAAAAAGTTACAGTGGCCAATTAACCAGTGTGATGGGCCTTCCAACAGGTTGCTCTTCCATGAATGGTTCATAGAACCTTATCAAAGAAACAATAAATAGTTGTTAATAAAGTATTTCAAAATAGCATAACATTTCATATGATGTAATAGTCTAACCTACTACAGTTAAAAATGAAATAATATACACAATTGAGAGCTTTCATGTAAATCTTTGATATAGTGGAACCTCGGTTTTCGAATTTAACTCATTCCAGATTTCAATTCATCAACCAAAATCAATGAGAACTAAAGCAATTTTTCCCATAAAGAATAATGTAAATAGAATTAATCCATTCCAGACTCCAAATGAAAATATAATAATAAATTAATAATGTACTAACTACAGCACAGGGAAACTAAAAATGAATACTAAACAAAAATTTAACTGAAATACTGTACAGTAAATGAAAATTTAACTGCCCTTTACCTGTCAGAGGAGAGCTACTGTTGTTTCTCTCTTTGTATCTTTTCACCACCAACACCCTGTTCTGGCTCACTGGTTCTCTCTCTCACTAAAAACCTGTCCAATGAGGTTTGTTTCAGGCTCTGTTTTAACACTTGTCTAAACTGAGACATACACTGTCATGACAGATGGCCACTTCTTTGTCTGGATGGTATTTTTCAGCAAATTCCTGCACTTCATACCATTTACCACACATTTCGTTGACAAATGCAATGGGGACATCATCCCTTGCCTCCTCTTCCTCTGATGACAGCTCCTCCACTGCAGTCTGTTGCTGCTCCTTCTGAAGGTCTAGAAGTTCTTCTATGGTGAGTTCAGTTCTATGCTCCACCACCAGCTCCTCATCATCATGTTCAGTCACCTCTGGGCCCAAGGTTTTCCCTAGGAACACAATATCCTTTACTGGCTCAGGCCCAACTTCAAAGCCTCCAAAATCCCTGGCTGCCACAAAGTCGGGCCACAATTTCTTCCATGCTGACTGCATAGTCCTGGAAGACACATTCCTGGAAGACATGCTCCAGAGCACGTGACCTGAGTCGCTTTGTCCATACATATGAAAACTTGTCTGTCAACAACCAAGAAAACGTATGGAAAACCAGGAAATTTTTTTCTCAAACACCTCGTTTGAAAACTGATTTATTTGACAAGTAATGCAATCAACAGCCGAAGTTAGACTGTATTCCTTGAGAAATGTGCGCTTGTGAGTGCACACACATGAAAGTGCTAGAGTTTTCTATTTTGTTTTTCACTATTAGCTTAACATACTTGCAGTCAGATATTTTATGTGATTACTTGCTCTGATATAATAAGTTAAGACTATTACCAAAACATTGATTAAAACAGATTTTTTCAGAATACCAGTTATACAGTGGACATACAACGAAAAACTGATGTAACTCTTGTGAAAGCCATGCTGTTAGCCACACCAGTTAATGTGTTCAACATATTGGTGTGGTCATCTCAGGGTTTGACTAACCTCTACTACACCACAAGCTCTGTCCCCACACTGTTTGCAATGGTAAGACTGTTCATTTTACTTGTAACTTCTTTAATACTTCAAACATTAACTCTCTCACGGTCTCCAATGAAGATCTATGTTACAGATGCCAGTTTTGCTCATGCACCCTTAAATATGCTGTGAGCAGTAAATTTTGTTATAGACATGATAGAATGAGTGTGTGTGGTGGATATACACAGTGCAAAACAATTCTGCCTGATGCAGCATGATGGTGAAAGGAAACTTCTTACCTTATGGTGGCTTAAGATAGCAATTTTGTGTGTTTTCTAATGAAATAAAGATCATTTTGATAGATTTCAGACTGGAAGTAGCTTGAAACAGGACTCAAAGTGGTGGAAATATTTGATTTTTTGACAATTTTGCTGCAGAATGGTAAAACCCCTCCTACCCTGGTTAGTTTTATGGGTTTTTACTAAGGTCTCCTTTAGTTACTGGGATCACCTAAACCATGGCTAGTTGTTATTGGTTATATGCATCTTATCTGAGAAATAGGGTAAAGACTTTGATTTTGTGTGTAATGATGGATTGAAAATGAAGGGCATGTGTTATACAGGAGAGGAAAGAAAAGATTGCTTTAGTAGCTAGAATGTCTACAATGTTTATTTTGGACTGTTTTTAAATTAGAATTTGTTGAATTTTGCACTGTATCAGGTAGTGCCTGTGTTCAGTGTGTTTGAGCAATGGAAATACCTGAAAACTCAAGTTGAGCAAAATCACCAATGCATAAATTGTGCACAAAGTACTAACTTTGTGCCTGTGTAATTCCGTGTTTCCATAATTTTTACGCTTTTTGGTGTCATTACCTTCAGAAAAAGATTCCTTCCTATTTCAGAAGATAAAATTGTTATTATTCCTTACTGAAAAATCATGACACTGTCAGGAGTTAATTTCAGGGATCACATAAAGGATAAGATTAATGGTATATAATACTGACAAGTTGATGAATGAGACACAAGTGAAACAGTTGGGTATTTGTATTCGATTGATAAAGCCTGCTGCACAGGTGAAACATTTCAGCGGTGAAGATACCTGGGTGTTGCACAATACATAGTTCTCATTCATCAACTTGCTTTACCACTGTACTTGTGGTGATTATGTACTATATAGTAGCCAGAAGGACTTGAACCCAAGTCATCAGCTCTTCACAAGTGTAAATAGCTGACATACTGATATCTTAACCCTTTCACTGTCAAGACTCCTGAAATTAATATATCTCTCAGTGTCCACATTAAAAAACATCTGAAGTGGTAAAAAAATTTCTGAAGATAACGATGCCAAAAGTATGATGGAAAACTTATGGAATTATGCAGGTGCAAAGTTAGTGGACTGGGTGCAATTTATGCATTGGCAATTTCATCCACTTTGAGTCCTATTTTAGCCAAATTTATTGCCACTTCTTAGAAAAATTCTTAGCTATTTTGCTAGCATGCTTTTTGTTTTATCTATTGGCACAAGAAACTGCCCAATTTGCCATTATAACTACCCTATATAGTACACAGAAGTCGATAATTTGGTCAGTTTTACACAAAATTAAATAAATTCCAATTTAAAAACAGAGTCCAAAATAAAGAACATAAACATTCATGCACTAAAACATCTTTTTTGTTCCAATTTGAATTCATATTTACAAAAAAACTGAATAATATTTACCCTTTTTTTCTCGGATAAAAAAATATAACTAGGAATGATTGGTCATTGTTTTCACATTCCAATAACTGAATTAGACCTATTAAAAACCCATAAAACAGACTGGGGTGTAAGGGGGGTCTTAACCATACTTAGGAAAATCAGCAAAAATCTAATATTTCTGTTACTTTAAACCCAATTTCAAGCTGCTCATGGTCCTGAAACCAACCAAAATTATCTTTATTTCAGTAGTATTACTTCCATTCTATCAAATGATACCAAGAAATAGCCAATAAAATTGTAAAAACCATCCTAGTTTGCTATTTTAAACCAAACACAAGGTCTGAGTTTTGCTTTTCCCATCATGCACCATGTGGGGCAGCACAGACTAGTCTCTCATATCTAGGCCAAAATTTACCACTCACAGCCTATCTTGAGGTAGCTGTGCTCAAAACATAGATCTATGTGAAGGACCCTGGCATCAATAACTGCCACTCAAAGGGCTAAGCCACGAAGCTACAGATGCCTCATAACTTTGAGTAACCAGCCATAATTCTAGCCATGTTTTCTTGAAAGCTAGCCACACTAGTTAGTATTGCTAGTCTTACAAGTAATACTATGTTCAGCATACTCTGCAGAAACAAGTACATACAAATTTTTATTCCTTTGCAGAGATTACAATATGTCATTTACACTTTATAAAATGTTACGTACATAGAAAGCCACTAATATGCCTGAGGATTTCGAGCAGACTGATCCTAATGCTAACACACTACTTAAAACTGGACATAGGTTTAAGTGGTAAATTTTTATTATGTATTCATTATTTTACCTTATTAATAAAGAGAGGTAGCCAAAAATTTTGTAAATAATAAGATCTACAGTAGTGAGGTAGCAAAAGACAAATACAGTAATAGTGTTTCAGTTAGTACAATATACAATGTTACAAAGGTACAGTTGTAAGCATGTATTAATGTTTTAGACTGATCAAGCAGTCCTGAGATTTTTGGGATTTCTTTTCAGTCATTTCAAACTGGTTGAATGATATAGTATAGTGTTGGTATAGTTAATTTTGGGAGATGAGATGATTTTTAAGTATAGCCATAAAGTGACTGGCAGGCAGGGAACCTTTTGTCTGCAATACTTCTGTGTGTATACTTCTGCTTGTTCTTATGGAGTACATTGAGTACTACGTAAATGGTATAATGGACAATTCTTTATGGCTTATATATAAGATACAATTTTAATTTCCTAGGTAATGAAAGGGTGGCATCATGTCCTGTATGCTGACGTGACTGCTATAATCACCAGTAAAACTGGGGAAATGATTCTTAAGCTGCATGACGATGGAGTTGGAGGTCAGTTACTCCTGAGAATTGTGTTCTAATCATTTATTAGGCACAGTATCCTCATTATGAAATATATTATGTCTTGCCTTTCTTTTTAGTTCTGAATATCTTTAGAATGCTACTTTGGTTGGACCTGAAGCTTTATTTTTTTTACATATTTCCTACAGTTTATTATTCTACCTCAGCTTATTGTAAATCAGTGCAGCTACTCCATTATGAAAATTTGAGGAATTTGATAGAAAAAGAGTATTATTAATGTCAGCAATTCTGACACCTCTTTAGTGCTCTTTAATGCTATCAGAGAGAGAGTGAGTGGTGGTGCATTGAGACATGTGTGGAGACAAAGAATGTTACCCATGAAGACAAAAAGGGAATGAACAAACACTGTTATGTTTTTTTAAACACTACAATGAGGAGGAGGAGACTGGAGGCAGTGATGTCATGTTTAGCCATTTCAAGTGCTGAGTGTCGGGATTTAAAAAAAAAAAAAAATCCTCTGAAATGGTAGAAAATCATATTCTGAAGGTAATGACATAAAAAATCCAAAACTTTATGAAAACTTTACAGAATTACACAGTTGCAAACTATCATAATCATAAGTAAGTGTTAAACCCATAAGGGTCATACAGCTCTGATAAACAGGTATACAGCTGGCAGTATGGGTACTGTTTATGCATCAGCAATTTTGCTCACTCTGGGTCCCATTTTCAGCTAACTGCATTCCCCAATTTGATCCAATTCCTAGGTATGTCACTAGTATGCCTTCAGTTCTATTGTTTGAGTATAAGAAACTGCTCACTCATCTATCAAAACGGCACACGCTATAAAGTTCACAGAAGTCCGTACAGCCTCCCCTCAGCAACGTACGTGCTCATTTACCAACAACTCGGACTTATGATGGACTCTCTGACCAGTATGCATACCTAAATAATGTATATTAGATCTGAGTTCCTCTATTCTGTACAGTGGACCCCCGGTTTACGATCAGCTCCCAATGCGACCAGTTATGTAAGTGCGTTTGTACATGTATGTTTGGGGGTCTGAAATGGACTAATCTAATTCACAATATTCCTTATGGGAACAAATTCGTTCAGTAATGGCACCTGAACATACTTCAGGAATGAAATAATATCGTAAGCCGGGGGTCCACTGTATTTTACAATATACAGTATTGTCGGCAATATTGTCAGGTACATTTGAATAATCTTTTGTTAGATTATGTATTGATGGGTAGGCTCCAGGATGTACATGTTTATAGAGGAGCAACTGATATATCAGATCATTATTTAGTTGTAGCTACAGTTAGAGTAAGAGGTCTACCTGGAGTCTACCTGGAGGGCATTCCAGGGATCAACGCTCCCGTGGCCCGGTCCACGACCAGGTCTCCCGGTGGATCAGGGCCTGATCAACAAGGCTGTTACTGCCGGCCGCATGCAATCCAACGTACAAACCACAGTCCGGCTGATCCGGCACCGTCTTTAGGTATCTGTCCAGCTCCCTCTTGAAGACAACCAGGGGTCTTCCCGTAATGCCCCTTATTGCTGGTGGGAGTCTGTTGAACAGTCTTGGGCCCCGGACACTTATTGTGTTTTCTCTTAGTGTACCAGTGATGCCCCTACTTTTCACTGGGGGTATGTTGCATTGCCTGCAAAAATTTTTTGCTTTCGTATGGAGTGATTGCTGTGTGCATATTAGGGACCAGTCCCTCCAGAATCTTCCAGGTGTAGATTATGATATATCTTTCTCGCCAGCGCTCTAGTGAGTACAAGTCAAGTGCTTCCAGGCGCTCCCAGTAGTTAAGGTGTTTGATGGAACTTATACATGCAGTAAAGGTTCTCTGTACATTCTCTAGTTCTGCAATTGCACCTGCCTTGAATGGGGATGTTAATGTACAGCAGTATTCCAGCCTAGAGAGAATAAGTGATTTAAAAACGATCATCATTGGCTTAGCATCTCGTCTTAAATGTTCTCATTATCCATCCTACCAGTTTCCTAGCAGTTGCGATAGTGGCATTGTTGTGGTCCTTGAAGGTGAGGTCTTCGGACATTACCACACCCAGGTCCTTCACATTACTTTTCCGCTCTATTGTGTGAATGGAGTTTGTAGTATACTCAGTCCTAGTTATTATTTCCTCCAGTTTTCCATAACAGAGTGGTTGGAATTTGTCTTCATTGAACATCATATAGTTCTCTGTTGCCTATTGGAAAACTTGGTTTATATCTTCTTGGAGCTTTGCCGTGTCCTTAATGGATGACACTCTCATGCAGATCCTATTATCGTCTGCAAAAGATGATACAGTGCTGTGGTTTTCATCTCTATGTCTGATATGAGAATAAGGAACAGGATAGGTGCGAGTACTGTGCCTTGTGGGACAGAGCTCTTTACTATGGCAGCATCTGATTTAACTCTGTTTACCACTACTCTTTGTGTGCAATTGGTTAGAAAGTTGAAGATCCATCTGCTTACTTTGCCAGTTATCCATTTAGCATGCATTGTGTGTGCTATTGCACCATGGTCGCACTTGTCAAAGGCTTTTGCAAAGTCTGTGTATACTATATCTGCATTCTGTTTGTTTTCCAGTGCATCTAGGACCATATCATAGTGCTCTAGCAGTTGCGAAAGGCAGGAGCAACCTGCTCTGAAACCATGTTGCCCTGGGTTGTGCAATTTTTGGGAGTTCAGGTGGTTTGCTATCCTGCTTCTTAGAACTCTTTCAAAGATTTTTATGATGTGAGACATTAAAGTTATTGGTCTATAGTTCTTAGCTACTGCTTTGCTGCCACCTTTATGGAGTGGGGATATATCTGTTGTTTTTAGTGACTGTGGAATCTCGCCTGTGTCTAAGCTCCTTCTCCATAGTATACATGTACTTAGGGCCCGTGAGAGGGGCTTCTTGCAGTTTTTAATGAACACCGAGTTCCACGAGTCTGGGCCTGGGGCTGAGTGCATGGGCATGTCATCGATGGCTTTCTCAAAGTCTAGTGGAGTTAGGGTTATGTCATAAATATGGCCTACATTGGCAGGGCTTTAAGTCTCATTCATGAAAAAATTGTTTGGATTGTCTATCTTTAAACTGGTTAGTGGCTTGCTGAACACTGAGTCATACTGCGTTTTCAGTATCTCTCTCATTTTTTTTGTTGTCGTCTGTGTAGGATCCATCTTGTCTGAGCAGGGGCCCTATACTAGAAGTGGTTTTTGACTTGTTTTTGGCATATGAAGAGAAATATTTAGAATTTCTTTCAATTTCATTAATTGCTTTTAGCTCATCTTGTCTCTCCTGGATCCTGTATGAGTCCTTTAACTTTAGCTCAATATTTTCCACTTCCCTGGTTAGCATTTCCTTCCGTGTATCAGATAATCTGGCATTCTTGAGGAGCTCAATGATTCTTCGTCTTCTGTAGAGCAAGAGGAAAATGGCAACAGCAAGTAAGAGATAGGTGATAGTATATAAGCTAGGGAGGAAGGATTTTTGGGTGAGATAAAGCATATTGGCAAAAAGGTGGGCTAGGCAAGTTAGTAGTGGGAGGGGGGGGGGTTTTTAAGAGGTTGGGAAATATTTTTTAAAAAAGCAGTATTAGTGTGGGGCAAAAGTTTGTTTATAGGAGGGTGGGTGCAGGGGGAAAGAGGAGTGATTGGTGGAATGATAAAGTAAAGGGTGTGATAAAAGGAAAAAGGTAGTTATAAAGGGGTTTTTAAAAGCAGAAGTGTTTAAAAAGAGCGGAGTATATGGAGATAAAAGAAAGGGAAGAGAGTGGTGGGAGGAAAAAAGGAGAGCAGTGATAAGTGGGAGGGGGGGCACTGTAAAAAAAAATTTAATGAAAACAAAAAAAAAATTTTGGGTGAGTTAAAAAGTTAAGAAGCCTGGGGAAAAAATGGTTTTTGTCTGTTAAAAAAGGTGGGGGAGTTATAAATGGGAAGATGGAGGATTGGGTAGAGGGGGGGAATATTTTGAGGAAATTTTAACCCCTTTAAAATGTCCAAAAGTAGATTTGTTTGATGCTAGCGCTTCAAATGTGATCAACTTTTATTTTTTTTCCTTTTTAAATTTTGGGACAATAGGTTGGTCGCTAGCATGAAAAAAATGGGTTTTGTGCACTCAGTGTGTGCACTTTAAAAAAAATTTTGGGGCACTTAGTTTGTGGGATACCAGTTCAATTGAGCGCCACTGAGCAATAGCTGGCAAACACCAGGGATTCACTGATCCATGTCAATTAACACTCCCCTTTTAAGAGAAAATAAAAACAGGGTTAGATAAAAAACTGGTGAGGTGGGTGGGTGTGAGTTGGACCTGACTAGTTGTGCTACTAGGGCTGATGTCATGCTCCTTCCTTCAAAGGATGTTCCTGACTTGGTGGGTCATTGGTCTAAGCCGGGGGAAGGGGGGGAAGTACTGCCTTGCATGGGCCAGGGAAGGGCCTGCGCGTTTCATTCTTTCTTATGTTTATGTATTTTGACAGGGTGGGCCCGTGGCTGGCTTTGGTTGTTTCTGGGGGTCTCTCTGTCTATATCCTATCTGTGCTTCTGTATCTCATCATAATTTGCTGTCTTATCTCTGTCTATGATATCTGTCATCATGTACACATAAATACAATTATACATAGTGTAAATTTCCCAGGATAATCCCAAAAATTTCCCGGAAAAAATAGACGATAGTAGACAGAAAAAATTTGTGTGTTCAGTGAAAACAAAGCCCGGGTTCCCCCCAGCCCCCTTTTTCAAATGTACTGGTTTTAAAACAGATGTCATAACACGATTTTTAAGGAGTGTGATATACATATACTCCAGGCAGACAGACAGACAGATAGATAGACAGGCAGATAGACAGACAGATAAATAGACAGAGACGAGACATGTTTGTGTGTAACAGTGATAACAGATACAGCGAGGGTTAGCTGGAGCAATGGGCATTTATCAAATGTCACTGGGTTGTCAACAGTATAGGAATGCCTTTCATAACAACATGCTTCAAGGTATATGCCAGGGTATCTAAAACATTGCTGGGACCAAT